GGGGGGATTAGATTTTCACCCCAACAACCCCTGTTCCGCCCAGATGAGTAGATCCAAAATCGATGCAGCTCTACCTTTATTGCAGACAATGAAGCAGATGTGAGATGAGCCATTCCAACAATGAAACAGTTTTACCTCTATAGCGGCAAGCAACATGGAGCGGAATAGATCCGTTACATCCCTTTCTTGACTTTCTTTACTTCGGCTTTCTTCGGGGTACCCCTTCTGTTCGTTCTTGCAGCCCCCTTTTTACTGTGCCTCTCACGTACAAGGCTGGCCAAGTTGATTGTGGTTTAGCGCCAGCTGCCCATATCCCTGTGTGCCTTGATGGCAATCTTGCTCGTTATGAAAAGAGGCAAAGTAAAGTGGGAGGTATACTCCTGTTCATTTTTCTCCAGATGTTTTGTGTGTGTGGTGTTTGGGGTTGGGTGGGGGATATGGCCTAAGCAAGATGGCTGGATTTCCCTTATGTATGTACCTCAGTCTTTATACTCTTTGTATGGTTAAATCCGGTTCCGACTCAGTGTAGATCCGGAAGTGACACCAGCAAACTTCCCCTGCCGATTGCAGGTCAAGAAGCATGTATTTGGAGGACACGAGGAGGGAGGAGGATTATAGTGCAGGCTGCAGTCTCTGAGGGTGATCTGATGCATGAAGGGGCAGTATTGCATGATGGGTGGGTAGACCAGCTGCTGCCTTTTGTCTGGGGGGAGAAACGTTTGCAGCTTTCAAAACAAATCTGTGTTTTTTTTTTCTTTCTTTCTTTCTTTTCTAATAACAATAACGAACGAGACCTCAGTCCTGTGACTCCGTTGTATTCTGGGGAGCAGAAGTCTGTTCCGTTTAGACAGAGAGGTCATATACGCAATATGATCGAGTCAAACAGCATCGAATGTCGATCTTCTACAGGTGGATTATCCGTCTGTCGAAGATCTATTCACATCCTGCTTCTTCTCTGTAGATCATGTTGTCAGTTGCTGCCCCTCTTGAGACATTGCCACCTCTGATTAAAGTCGGCCATCAGTTCCACTTCAGTTAGTTCCACCCGTCGTTGCAAGTTGAAAATCCACGTCCTTTTGTGTGTGTGTGTGTGTGTGTGTGTGTGTGTGTGTGTGTGTGTGCGCACACTCATTGTTTCGCAGATGCATGACACAGCGTATCCACACATCCTGTTTACTCCGGAGATATCAGATGTTATTTATTCTGAAAGTGCGGGCGTAGCCTCACTGCCCATCCTTGTGTCTGGAGAAGTCTGTGGTGGGCCTGTCCATTTGCTATCAAACGGAAGAGCTTGAGCTGAAGGTAACCAGCCGCCCAAGGTTTGGCCTTCGGTGGGGCTACTTATTTGCCTTCCTCCAACCCGCTGAGGCCCTAGAATGAGTGGGTCCTTGTGTCCCCTATTGCTGAGGCCTCTTCTGAAGGAGATGTCAAAACATGGGTGGTGGGTCTTGGGGTCTGTACTAGTTGATGCCCTGGGAGGCGTCAATCCCATGAAACATCCAAAGAAAGGACTAGCCCATCCTCTATGGCCATGTTTGACTGTCGCTAGCTTACCCATCGCCTCTTCAGCTCTCCCCCTCCTCGCCCTTGCGCTTTCCCTTCCGTGCCTTCTATGCCTGCCCCTCTCCCTTCCCTTCCCTGGTGCACTGTTCCTCTTTTTTCCCTCCCACTTCTCTCCTGTTTGCTCCTGTTTTCAGTGTGGATGTGTCTAACATCCTGGTGATGGTGGCCTGGCACTTTGTCTTGAGGTTGCAGGAGACAGCTAAAACTTTGAGTGAAGTGGAGATTGTCACTGTCAAGGGAGAGAGGCAGACACTTTCAAGAGTCAGAGGGGAACTTGACTATGGCTACAGACTCTCACCTTTTCAAAAGCTAGATGGATTTGGTGCTGTGGTGGCGGCAACATTCGAGTTGCAGCCCTGCTCGCATGCACGCGAACGGCAGTTGAGCTTTATGTGCAGGTGCGAAAGGATGACTCCATGGCCTCCCTCCGTGCAAAGCGAGTCTGCGTTGCCTCTGCTAGCAGATGGAATTTGTTCTGTTGTTATGATCCTGGCCAATTTTGAAGTACACATTCATCAGAAAGTGCAATGCTGTCCAATTGAAGGAACTTGAGAGGAGAGAGAGGGAACGGAGAAGAAGAAGAAAGAAAGAAGAAGATGATGTACACCAGCATAGACCAATGATAATGCTCTTCTTCTTCGCCAACCACTCTCCTCCTCCTTATCTCCTCCCCTCTTATTCAATCAAGAAATAATAATAATAATGTTGAATGGCTGAACAAGAATCAATGTCCGAATCCCTCTTCTACTGCAGGTATCATATGAGGTCCACCATAGCCATGGCACCCTTCTCCTTTCTCTTCTCGAAGGCCTAGGCTATGGCGGACTATTAGGGCCTTGCCCTGATGTGTAGAAGACAACTCAAGCAGCTATGGCTGCTCTAGCTCAGGCCGCAATGCCTGACTCTGCCTCGGAACTTCTTGGTGTAGCTCTACCCCCGGTGGGGTCATCTTGCTGCAGTGCCCACCAAGGTAAGTACGTCTGGCGCTCCCCCTTCCCAGTCCTGGTTTTCTTCATCCTCCTGTCCTTGCTCCTCCCCAGCAGCACGGCTCCTTGCTAGTGCTGCTCCAGCCAGCGCTCCAACCAGTGTGTCGCCAAACTTGCACACCGATAATGAGGAGGAACACTTTGCTCCTCCTGGAGATATAGCGGCCTACTTGCCTCTTGGCGAGTGACTTCCCAGGCCGCGCGGCCTCCAAGCAACCGGTACCTCCTCCCTGTCAGATGGAAACATCGTTGCAGACTCTGATATTGCCCGTACAGGCCCTAGACTCAGACTGGTTGGACTGTTACCCGCCTAGATCTAGCCTACAACTACTGGGCCTCTAAAAATGCCAACTTTCGTCTTCTTCTGCTCGGCCTCGAGTACCCGGCACATCTACCTCTACCTGGTGTGGTGCCGGCCTACCTGCTACTTGAGTGTTTTTCCGCTGCTTCAAGTGTCGCGGGCCTCTTTCCCGCCACTTGAGTGTTTTCTCTGCTCCAACCCTCAATGTCACGTGCACAGGTAAGTACCGGCCCTTTGGGCCTTCTGAACGAACAAGTGCCCTTGCGGTTCACACGCACACTCAAGCCGACAAGCAGTCAGACAGGGATGCAGACCAGCAAGCATGCACACACACAGACTTAGAAAACTCAGCAACAAGCGGGAAACTCAGGAAGGCATTCATTCCATGAGCAAAACTCAGCTGTGTGTCTCTATCCGTGTTTGGCAGGGTCATTACACTACCCCCCTCTCAAGAGCGAGGTCCCTTCGAGCGAGTAACTCACCCTGAGTCCCCGACAAACGCATCGTAAGCGAACATAGCAAAGAGATTTCGTGAGTACTCAGTAGCAGTGAGCTTTGCAAAAATTTTTGGTACAGCATCAGAGGCGATCTGTTGTTCGTATGCTTTAACAATGCGAGGTGCGCTGCGCAGCAATTCTTTCTTGGAGATCCAATAGAAATCGTCCAACGGGTGGTACATGAAATGAACCTGATATTGTCTGTTACGTCCCTCTCCGGTGTGATTTTTAATTCTATGTATCTCGTGACCGCCTTTGATTGCACGAGGGATCATGTTCTCATGGTATTTGAAGATCTTAGCATTATGATTTATATACAGCTTTGATGCGTGAAAGACTGGGTACGTGCACATATGAGGTGGCACAACAATCACATACGAAGGACCGGACTGATTATTGCCAATCATATCCAAGACTTCCCACGGACCATAATAGAGAGGGAGAAGTTTGTGTAACACCCCCTCTTCTTCCGGAAATTCAGACATCTTGACCCAGACATAACTTCCCACTTTGATATCCGAAGGTTTGCGTTTTTTGCGTGATGGATCATGGCGTGTTGTCTCTTGGTCATTGCTGCAATGACAACCTTGAGCAAGCGACCATACTTGGGGCTGAAGCCAGGCCTGCCAGGTGTTAGACCGGCTGGCCGTTCGGGGAATAAGTATGAGAGCGGATTACGAATCTCCCAGCCGTAATGCAGCCTATTTGGCATCATGCCGGTGGAATAATGAATTTGTTGTACAACCCCTTTACTGAATACAGCTCTTCATCCCACGTTTCATGATTAAGCCATGGAGAAGTTGAAACACAGTCTGATTAATCTCCTCAGCCAAGCCGTTGGCTTCGGGATGTCGACCAGATGTCATGCTCAGTTTGACACTAGGGAGTTGGGATGTGAAGTCCTTCCATTCAATGCTTATGAAGCACGGGTCCCAATCACTCACAAGGGTTTTCGAGGTCCCGAACTGCAGAATGTACTTCTGATGGAACTCATGGATCACAAGTTCAGCTGGGGTATGCGGTGGCAATGAGATCAGATTCATAAATTTGGAAAATCGATCAACAATTACCATCACTAGTGAAAATCCAGTCTTACTGACCTTTCCCATGTTTGTGAAGTCGATGGAGACGGACTCCCCGAGACCATTGGAAATGGGAAGCGGTTGGAGTAGCGCCATGATCTTTTGTCTGGATGGTTTGATTCGCTGATATATTTGATACTCAACCACAAACCTTTCAGCAGATTCTTTCATACCCGGCCAGTCAAATTGTTGTAATAGGTTTCCCTCGGTTTTTGCCATGCCGAAGCGTCTACTCCGACCGTGAGCCAAGTCCAAGAAGTATGTGCGGAGAGGCTCATGGTTGGGTAGGCACAATCGATCATGCTTTTCGTAGCGTCGGAAAACAAGACCTTCGCATTCGTGAAAATCAGGCTGACTGCTGAGGTCAGCTCGCAGCTGGTTGAGGATTGGACTGAGGTCCGAATCCTTGGCAGTTTGCTCCACTAGTTCCTCCTTCAGTTTCTTCCGAAGGTCGTAGGAGTTTACAAGGCAAATCATGTACTCGGGGTGGCGAGACAATGCATTAGCAACTCGGTTATAACAACCCTTTTTGTGTTTCAATTCAAATTTCAAAGTCAAATATGTCAATTTCATGGAACCAGCGAGTCAACGTGGGGGATAGGGTAGTTTGCTCCTTTATCCATTTCAAGTTCTCATGGTCCGAGAAGACCTTGAAACGACATCCCAAAAGATAGTGCTTTTAATGGTTCAATGCTTCGCGCAAAGCCGTGCATGTGAGTGGAAGTGGCCACCTTTTCGCTGGGCATGCGTTTGCTGTAGTTTGAGTGGTCGCAAACCATCACCATCATCTTGTTGCAGCACTGCGCCAATCCCATATTGGCTGCATCTGTAGTGACTATGAATGTAAGGTTTGGAATCTGCAATGATCTGGCCCAGGTACAAAACTTGTCTTGGCCCATTCGCACTTCTTTGCATTGATCTTGAAGTTAGCTTCTCTAAGTTTCTCCAAGACCTGCCTTAGATGACCCTCATGCTCCTGGAGGGTCTTACTGAACATTAGAATATCATCTAGATACACTACAACAAATCTATCCAACCATGGCCTAAACAAATCGTTCATGTAGGGCTGGAAAGTCGCTGGCGCATTGGTTAGTCCAAAGGGCATATCTATAAATTCATAGTGCCCGTATCTAGTCCGGAACGCTGTCTTGTACTGATCATCAGGATGAACCTCTATCTGATGATAGTCAGACTTTAAATCTATCTTCGAAAAATACTTGCAGCCCTGCACCCGGTCTAACAAATTGTCTATACGGGGTAGTGGTTCTGCATTCTTCACTGTGATAGCATTAAGACCCCTATAGTCTATACACATTCTAAGCACTCCCTCTTTCTTAGGGACAAAGAGAACAGGTGCTCCAAATGGGGACGAACAGGGCCTAATCCAACCCTTCTCAAGGATCTCGCCTAATTGCTTACGTAGCTCCTCTAACTCCCTTGGGGACATTCTGTAAATCGCTCCCTTAGGCAGCTTGGCAATAGCAGGGTCTATGGGTGTCTCCTCCTTAGGCTCAGTGACTGGCCTTACGCTACAAAAACCTGCTCTTCTAATTGCTCCTTCTTTACTAATCGCGCGACGCGGGAGCGCTGAGGCAACAATGTGCAAGGGTCTACTCCGGACACATGGAACAGGCGAGCGGTTTTAACTTCACCTGTGGGACTAGGGAGCCTCCACTCGTGCTCTCTCAAATGGAGTGTGGCCCCTGCGGCCTCTCCCCAGTCCATTCCTAGGACTTTATCAAAGGAAGATTGTCTTCTACGAGGAGAGTCAGGGAATGGAGGACTTTCTCCACGTTCCCATCTTTCTCTAGGCGAAAGTACGCCTGGACTCCCTCGACGTAATCCTCTACTCACATAGTGCGATTGTCTGCGAGGATATTGACTATAGGGTCTTCTAGTTTTTGGACTTTCAGGTTTAACTTCTGCAACGCTTTCCTACTAATGTAGCTGCGAGTGGCCCCACTGTCTATAAGGGCCCCTACTCTACCTCTAAAAATCTCTACGTCTACTAAAACTAGCTGTCCTTTGGCATCCTTTTTCATCTTGGCCCAGCCAGGCATCCTCTCCTTCAACTCTTCAGCCACGCCTATGAGGGAAGTACCTAGAGAGACTCTTACACAAGCAGTCTCTGGACAGTTGTCTAGGTACTGGCCAACAACCTCTGTCGTAGGCTCATGTGGTTTGGGAGTTCCTCTGTGGTGCGCGCACTCTTCTCCACATGGCCTAGAGGTAGGGGCAGTTGCGACCCCTACCGGCGGTTGCCTTTTTCTGCTTGCGCAGCATGGGGAGAATTTGAAGATGTGACCAGGATCACTGCAGTAGATGCACTGATCCTGATCAATCCGTTGTTGCCACACCGACTGCTCTAAGCCCAAATCTATGGCCTGCCTTGCGGCAAGCCTGGATGCCATCCACCTCGACTTTGAGGTGACCTATAGGATCGTGAGCGATTTGGCGGGGGACCTTGACCCCTACCTCCCTCTTGGCGGTTTCCTCTACCGCCAACACCCTGAGCGCCCTGTCCTCGGCCAC